TTTACCACGGACCTGGCATTACATAACAACAGCCGACGGTCCCGGGCCGGAGGATCTAAGTCTCCTGGAGACCGAGTAGAGACCTGAGGACCGGAGCACCCACAAGCTTGTAAATAGCGTGTGCGTGCTCCCCTAACCTGATATGGTCCTCTACTCCCGCCATATCTGCCTCTCCCACTGACCGTACTAATACCTCCCTCCCCCCTCCCCCCCTCCAATCTCTTCTTAAGAACCTCCAGTAATGGAGCCCCCACAACTTTTGGAGGGAAGCCGTTCGTTCCACCGTCAGGAAGTTTCTCCTTAGTTCCAGGTTGCTTCTCTCCTTGATGAGTTTCCATCCATTGTTTCTTGTCTTCCCTTCGGTTCCCTTTGGAGAATAGGTTGACCCCTCCCTACTTCTTTGTGGCAACCCCTCAGATATTGGAAGAGTTGCTATCACGTCACCCGTAGTCCTTCTTTTCACTAGGCTGGACATACCCAATTCCAGCAACCGTTCTCCCTATGTTTGACCCACCAGTCGCCTAATCATCCTTGTTGCTAGTCGGGGATTTCTGGGAGGTGAAGTCCACAAGTGTTAAAAGTTGCCAAGGTTGGACACCCCTCTCTCAGACTAAGTAATACATTTCTGAGAAATCCTTCTTCCTTTGTACTTCTGAATTTACCTACTTGCCTGATAACCTCTTTGTGTGTTCTTTATATCATTGTCAAGTTTTGGACCTGAGCATCTGATGCTGGTTTGCTATGATTTCATCCCAAAACACAGGCATTTGGGAGAAACTTTCTCTTGGTTACTTCATTGATATTTTCAGTAATTAAGTAATTCACAGACCATTTTAATAAAGGATTTGTGTTAAGGGTGAAAATGAGCTACAGAAAGTTACTTACAAGGGGCATTTTCACAAAAGAACTAGAGTTTGAATTCTTAAGATGTGAGTCTGTAAAGTTTTTCATGTACAGAATCAAAATTTCCAGACTTTCACTCTCCTGTTCCAGATTCACAGAATTCCTGGAAGAGTTTTTCTTTTTGAGAAACCCAAAAGACCTTTTTTTTTTTTTACCATTTATTGAATTCATATAGAAGTTTCTAATTATATGCATAGGTAATTTGTGGAAGACAAATTGAATGGCTTGTGTAAAGAATTAATAAGCACTGTCATAACTACAAAATTAGTCTACTGTTTTGGTAGTTAACTTCCAGGTTCTTGACATAAACTGGTATGAATTTCTTTGGTTGGCTTCCGACATGTTATATAAAATCAGTGAAATATATGTATTTTACCATACAAGTCATAAATGTGATGGCGTGGAATAGTTTACCTTCACACATGTGTAGATGTGTAGACATAACACAATGTAAGGGTGAAGGTCTGTTCTCCAAGCTTGTGGGTTGATTTCTGAATGTTTCGTTACCAGGCTAGGTTAATGTCTCCAGCAGTGTTTAGGCCAGGGGTGGGCAACCTTGGCCCCTTTATGGCTTGTGGACTTCAACTCCCAGAATTCCTGAGCCAGCCTGGCTCAGCTTGGAAACCTCTCCCTTTCCCCTCAGCGTGGCTGGCTCAGGAATTCTGGGAGTTGAAGTCCACCAGTCATAAAAGAGCCCAGGTTGCCTACCCCTGGTTTAGGCGTTTAGATACACATCAAATGTATTTGGGAATAATGCTATTATTTTTATGTCACGTGTCAAATAAATTCTGTGGACTACTAACCAACTTATAAATTAGTAAACTATAAAATAAAATGATATCAATATAGCTTTTAATAGAGCAGAATGTCCGTAGTTCAAGGTTGAATGGTGGCGTCCTTGGTGCCCTTTGTGGTCTGATGGCTGATGATGTTACCTAGTTAGGTAATGAGGCATCTGTAAGTGAATAACCAAGCTCAGAACTCCATCAGATAACTTTAAAAAGATTTGAGAAGATAAAAATGTGTCTGTGGAGGCAGAGAGATTTGTATAACAGGCATTGCCAGTGCACATTTTTCTCCCAAGTTTCCATTTCCTTCATTTCATTGCTTTGAAAAGAGCCTCTTACGAAGATTGTAGGTATACACGGACAGTTCCATTTAGGGCAACGTTTTGAATTGGACTTTAATTTAGAAATGCATGTCAATTCATCTTTCTAAACTCGTATATGTCTTTCAGAAGCAGGAATGATATTCTAATTCAACACAGACTATTTAATGCAGATCTGGGCCTTTTCCAGCCCCCAGGCCCTATCCGGCCTTTGGCTCTCCCTGGCCGGCCTGCGTGAGGTCATTTGGAAATTAGGAATCAAATGTAAATAAGTGTACACCAGGCACGCAATACAGCGGTATTGCTTTTATTTGGAAGGCAACTGCTATTTTTCCCCCACCTTACGTATGTGTGTGCGTGTGTGCCCTCCACAACAGTCCCAGTCCACAGTTTCTCATGTGGCCCCGTGGGAAAGTGAATTGCCCATCTAAGATAAAACTTAAAAGGGAGAGAGAGTAACAATATCGGCTACAAGTCATCAGCAGTTTGAGGCCATGGTGAGAACCAGTTAGTGCAGTGGTGGCAAACCTACGGCACGGGTGCCAGAGGCGGCACTCAGAGCCCTCTCTGTGGGCACGCGCACCGTTGCCCCAGTCCTAGGCCTTCAGCTGGGTTTTATAAAACCTTTTCGCTTTAGGCCTCCGCCGCCGTGTGCAAAAAAAAAAAAAAGATTCAATCAATCAGTCAATTTCAACTTCTCGCGGGGAAAAAAAGATCTTGCAAAGTTGGAATTGATTGATTGAACTTTTTAGTCCCACCCAGTCTGCCATTACCACCGCAGCCACGCCCACCCAATGGGCCACACCCACCCAATGGGCCACGCCCACCTGCACCCCACTATACATAAGTGGGTTTTGGGTTGCAGTTTGGGCACTCGGTCTCTAAAAGGTTCGCCATCACTGAGTTAGTGTTTAGATCTTGTGCTTCTGTTGCCACCTCCAGATTGCCGTTGTGTTCTCACCACTGGCAGTCACACAGCCTGGGATACACAAGCATTTGCAAAGCATTTGAAATGCAAACTAGCATAAAAGTGTCTCTTCCTACTTTTGCCTCGTCCTGTCCTCCTTCAATGAGGACTTAAAATTAAGCTTTCTTATTAGTATCTGGTGGTTGTTAGTTGGCTTCTCCTTTTTCCCCCTTTATTTTGTATTTTAACTTTGGAAATGAACAAAAAATGTGTAAACGTTTGTTCATGGTATGTTTAGGTGTGTGTCATGTATGTGTTTCACTTTGGGAGCGGGCAACTAAATTTCATTTTTGATGTGTGCCGTTGTGCCCACAGTAAAAAAATGACAATAAAGGCTATCTTATCTTATCTTAAACAAAAAACTTTCTTACTATAAGAACTTTCAAAACTATAATTGATTGGTTGATGCAGTAGAGAAAAGTCTTTAAATTGCAGTTTCAGTGTATGTTTTTTTAGTATCTTTGTGACAAATACTTCTATCATGACAAAATCATTTAAGAACTGAAGTTTGTATATTTTCTAATATATCTCATCCGTTAAAATGTGTGTTTTGCTGGCTGTATAAGGTAAATTTAATGTACGTTTTACCAGAAGATGTGTTAACTTACAAAATGTGTCCAAAATTCAGGAGCCGTGATTCCAAGGGAATAAAGGTTGGGGAAGTTGTGGCTGCTTCAGTGCTTCTAGCTGCTGGGCTCCTGCTGCGGTCACGTGATTTTTATTTTCAACATTCCGTGACAGTTTCCAAGCCAGTCACGCAACCCCTTGTTCCTTCCCCAATCCAGCATATTTGCCTGCCTGCTGGAAAGGGGAGGGAAGGAGATTTCCGATGTTCCCTGCCAGATGCCCTGCCAGATGCCCCCAAGAAAGTTCACTGGGGAAGCCAGAAGGAAGTCGGAAGTCACCCCTGCTTTTTTGATCGCTCATGTTCGTTCTGTTTCTCTGTTTAGGTATGGAAATAGCTCTGAAGCATATCAGCAGGGCGCAGGTTGTCTAGTTATTTTTAAAACCGCAGTCTTTACAATTACAATTTTACAATTTAATGCTATTCTCTGTAATGGCGAGCGGTGAGTTCACTGTTTTCCTGCTGCCTCTTCCTCTGCAGCACAAAGAATACAAGTCTCTCAGTGGGCAGCTCTCCACGGCAGCCGTTGCTCATGGCACAGAGATTGAGAGGCTGAGGAAGGAACTGGAGCACCATCGACAGAAGAAGGGGGACAGGAATCAGCTCGTGAGCCTGCAGGAGGAAATCGACTCCCTCCGGCTGGCCCTGGAGAAGGCTCACGGGGAGCGGAAGATCGTGGAAGATACCTACGCCAAGGAGAAGCAGGTGCTCCAAAAGGTAAATACTCTGCGAGGAGTTGCGGGCCTTCTGTATTGCAGTGACGGTGGGCATAGTAGGGCCAAGCCGTGCTTTATTTGACCATCATTTATTGGGGGGAAAAAATCAACATTAACTTGGGTGCCAAACAAATTAAGTCATAAACCGGCCTTTCAACTATTGTCTTGACCACCAACAGCTAAATTAAACCCGCCTCACAATGACTTTGCCTCATGTGTGCCCCAAGCGTGCCAATAAATTTAATAAATAAATAATAAGTCAGCACTCGGACGTTTTCAAGTCCTTCTGCGCTGAAGGTCCTTCTCAAAAGACGGATTACTTCCTGATTGTTGTGCATGGTTTGTATCATTAGTGAGGCCTTTTCTAAGGACAGGGAGAGCGGTCTGCGTATTTCGCAGTTGATCCATCCAGTTAAATTCTCCCACAGACCGGCCTTCAGAAATGGGTGGCATGAGCCCGCCTGCTCCAGCTTCACAGGGCTTCATTATATGCCTTGAATTTCTACAGGGAGAAGAAATAGGTGCTGAATCTGCACATCCAGCTTTTCACAAAATGTCTTTCCGTCACTATTGTGCTTTAAAAGGTCATTCATAGCAAAATTTAAGGGTCATGCAGAGTGTGAGCCAGCCGTGTGCTGCAGCTGCCAAAAAAGGCCAACACAGTGCTGGGCTGCATTAACAGAGGGATAGAATCAAGATCACGTGAAGGGTTAATACCACTTTACAAGGCCTTGGTAAGGCCACACTTGGAATACGGCATCCAGTTTTGGTCACCACGATGTAAAAAAGATGCTGAGACTCTAGAAAGAGTACAGAGAAGAGCAACAAAAGATGATTAGGGGACTGGAGGCTAAAATTTACAAGGAATGGTTGCTGGAATTGGGCATGTCCAGTTTAATGAAGAGAAGGACGAGGGGGGACATGATAGCAGTCTTCCAGTATCTCAGGGACTGCCCCAAAGAAGAGGGAGTCAAGCTCTTCTCCAAAGCGCCTGAAGGCAGGACAAGAAGCAATGGATGGAAACTCATCAAAGAGAGAAGCAACCTGGAACTAAGGAGGAATTTCCTGACAGTGAGAACAATTAACCAGTGGAACCACCTGCCTCCAGAAGCGGTGAATGCTCCAACACTGGAAGTTTTTAAGAAGAGACTGGACAGCCATTTGTCTGAAATGGTGTGGGGTTTCCTGTCTGAGCAGGGGGTTGGACTCGATGACCTCCAAGGTCCCTTCCAACTTTATTATTATTATTATTATTATTATTATTATTATTATTATTATTATTATTATTATTATTATTATTATTATTATTATTATTATTATATACTTAATAACCATATGCACGTAACGATTTGGGGCTTTGAGGTTCTTACCAGTGGCCCTCACGACATCCATTGGTTGATGGATTTGTAAGACAAATTTGTTGTGTGGGAATAGCACAAATAATTGCTGGCTAAGAGTAAATTCATGACCTTTTTAAATGGACAAATGTTTAAACTGTCACAGTTGTACTCCTCAATCAGTTTCTCTTATTCTGCTTTGGGAAAATGTGTGCGTCGATCTGAGAATTCTCCTGTTTCTTGCCAGATCATTGAAATAATCTAAAAAAAGAACAATGTCTGGCTAATATTAAAGAGAGGATTTTGTTCTGGTTTTTAACATAAATCCAGAGGTTGTGAGATTGGCAAGGGTTAGGGTATTCCATGCTATTAAACATGGAAGAAAAGGAAGATAGGAGGTGAATTTGGATACAAATTTTTGTGGAAGGAAAGAAGGGCAGTTACTCCCACACAGATTTTAGTTTATAACTTTCCATTTTACAGGCTTTTTCCCTCTACCAGCAACAGAATATCTATGGTGTTGCATGAACTACATACCCCAAAGGTCTAATAATAACCGACAGTGACTATCTGGGCCATCTGTACATCTGCAAGACATTTAATGTCGATGAATCCTCAACGTTTCATTCTAGAAGTCAGCTGTGCTAGAATTCTTTTATATCCTTATGTTTGTTTCTTATTTATTTTTTTGCCTATTATCGTTCAGCACCCAAGATTCCTGCCAATTTATAGCAATCGTTATATTCACTCTAAAATATATGTGTGTGAAGGTACATTCTCCGAGAAGGTGGGTTGGTTTCCAAACGTTTTGTTACCAGGCTGGGTGACCTCTTCAGCAGAGTTTAGGGGGGCCCAAAGCATCCCCCCTTGACTCCGCTGAACACATTGCCCAGCCTGGTAATGAAACGTTTGGAAGCCAACCCACCATCTCGGAGAACGAATCTCCATCCTCATCCTACACCCGAGGTACAGATATTCACCACTATTGCACGCACACACACACATACACACAAACACACAGAGTCGAATATTACTTGATAAAAATAACATCTGACAGCCAATCCTAAAAAAAACCCCAACCAAATGGCAACTCGGTCACCATAACATCACACAGCAATTTTCATTCTCAAGCTCCAGATACCCACCGAAACGGCATGCAGGTATTCCTTGATTTATGCCCACAATTGGGACCAAAATTTCCATTGTTAAGCAAGGCAGGCGTTAAGTGGGCTGTCCCCGACTTTTTTACCATGCCGGTTAAGCCAGTCACTGCAGTTGTTAAGTGAATCAGGCGGTCATTAAGCCAATCTGGCTTCGGCCATTGACTTTGCTTGTCGGAAAACTGCCGGGAAGATCACAAAGGGGGTGTGTGTGTGTGTGTGTCACATGACCCCGGGACAGTGCAGCTGTCGTAAAGGCAGGCCAGTGGCCAAGTGCCCGAATTTTGATCACGTGACCATGCAGCGGTCGTAAGTGCAAGGATCCCTTGTAAGTCACCTTTGTGACTTCGAACAGGCACTGAACAAGCGGTTGTAAGCCCAGAGCTGCTTGTACTTATGCTCAGGGGATCCAGGCCACCTTGTGACTGGATGTTATCTGCACCTTTTAATTTGCAACCGTGCCGAAGACGAAAGCAATAGCAGAGCAAGGGCAAGATTAATGTACCGAGACATTGGGGATTAAGGGCATTATTTTATTTTTAAACGGTTTTTCAGGCGCTTATTCCATTGAGCTCAGCTCCTGATGGTTTCTCATACTTGTGCTTTTCTCTGCAAATTTAAAGTCGATTTACTATTGCCGTCTTCTGGGATTTTTTTTTAAACAACTTATCAATTTAGGCTTAAGAATGGAATTTCTTGGTGGTCTCCCATCCTGGCACCTAACAAGTTTGATGTGGTTTCAAGGACTTACTGGACCTCGTGTTGTTTTTGAGATCAGCCGAGGTCCTCACGGGGGTTGCTCTCTAGCCGGGCCCTGGCACTGAAAAACTGCTCTAATTTTGTCGCTTTCTGGGGCGTTTTCTTCCACCTTCCCCTTCTGTTCTTTAGCCTGTGGAGAAATTCATTGGAAAGCAGCTTGAAGGCCTTTGGGTCTAAGGGCTTCTTCCCACGACTTCCTGCTTCCCTTTTCTCCTTGCTTTTAACGTCATCTGCAATTACTGATAAAATGTCTCTGCAGAGTTTTCCTGCTGAGAAAAGTGTGGAAAAATGTATGAACATACATTGAAAACTAGACATCTATACAGACATCCTAAATTGCTATTCTACAACAACAACAAAGAAAAACACGTTATGATATGGAGGCACAAAAGCCTCCTTTTTATAACTGCTCAAAAGACTCATACAATCTGAGTAGCAGTTTCCCCAAATTAAACTTAAACTTATTCTTCAGTGAGCTGCAGGTTTGTCGTGCACAATAAAACCTGGAGTGTCAGGCTGTGGTCCTGCGCACCCCCTTGTAACAGGATAATATTGCTTGCACTAAAATGACTTGTCCAAAACAATTTAGGGCAGTCAAATTGTAGTGGGCAGAAACCACGTAGCTTCTTCAGGTACGCTAATTTCATTAAGGAAGAGAAGGACGAGGGGGGACATGATAGCAGTCTTCCAGTATCTCAGGGGCTGCCCCGAAGAAGAGGGAGTCAAGCTATTCTCCAAGGCGCCTGAAGGCAGGAGAAGAAGCAACGGGTGGAAACTCATCAAGGAGAGAAGCAACCTGGAACTAAGGAGAAACTTCCTGACAGTCAGAACAATTAACCAGTGGAACCGCCTGCCTCCAGAAGCGGTGAATGCTCCAACACTGGAAGTTTTTAAGAAGAGACTGGACAGCCATTTGTCTGAAATGGTCTAGGGCAGTGGTTCTCAACCTTTTTAATGCCGTGACCCCAACCGGTCGTAAGTCGAGGACTAAACCGGTCGTAAGTCGAGGACTAAACCGGTCGTAAGTCGAGGACTACCCAACCGGTCGTAAGTCGAGGACTTTCCCTGCCCGGGAGCGCCGCGCATGCGTGGTTCCGCCCCCTGCGCCGGCCGAGGTGTAGCTGGCAAGCGGCAGAGACGGAGCAGGCCGACCACCAACTGGCCCAGCCCAAGGGAGGTAAGGCACCTGCCGGAAAAGGGGGAAAAATGGCAGACAAAAAAAATGGCGGACAAAAAAATGGCGGACAGCCTTGCTTGGCGACCCCCGTGAAATGGTCGATCGACCCCAAATGGGGTCCCGACCCACAGGTTGAGAACCACTGGTCTAGGGTTTCCTGCCTGAGCAGGAGGTTGGACTCGATGACCTCCAAGGTCCCTTCCAACTTTATTATTATTATTATTATTATTATTATTATTATTATTATTATTATTATTATTATTATTAATTATTATTATTATTATTATTATTATTATTATTATTATTATTATTATTATTATTATTATTATTATTATTATTATTATTATGAGAGACAGTTTGGTGTAGTGATTCAGGAAGCAGGTTAGATACCAGGAAACCATTATTTGTAGTCCATCCTTAGGCATGAAGCCATCTGGGTGACTTTGGGCCTGTCTGTCTGTCTGTCTGTCTGTCTCTCTCTCTCTCTCTCTCTCTCACACACACACACACACACACACACACACATATCAAGTGACCACAGGGAAGCTTGCAATGGTCGTAAGTGGGGGAATTGGTCATAAGTCACTATTTTAGTTGCTATTGTAACTTTGAATGGTAAATAAATGGTTGTAAGTCAAGGACTACCTGTGTGTTGCTTAGGGTTGTGTGTTCCGGGTGTGATGGGAAGCGGTATGCTGAGGCAGTGTGCTGTAACGGTTAAGGTGCTGGGCTAGGGAGACCCAGATCCGCATTCTCCCACCCCAGGGATTGTGGGAAAGCGAGAGACGAAAGTGGGTTGAAGGGAAGATGTTCAGATGTGAGAGAAAGGCTGTCAAAATAAATTTTGCCTTAATTTACACACTCTGAGTTTAGGAATTTATTCTTAAAATTTTTAAGATTCTGGATTTACCCCCAGAACAGCTTTAACAATATCCTAAAATCTGTATTGTTTTTTACTTCCTGGGTACTTGATATATGTGGCTTGAAAAGAATCTTAAAAATTGACCAGAGATTGATGGGTGATTTATTTATTGCATCATGTTATGGACCTCCCGCTTTGCCAAAATAAACTAACATTCCCTAAAACCAGAAGCAATCAATAAGAGGGGAGTAGCTCTCTATTGGGGCCACATTCTCTTTTTGATATCCTGGTCACAAGTATTGTTTAGTATTTGTGGGCCAATCTCACAACATTGCATCTGACTAGCAGGCACCCAATTTTAGCAGAGGTCTAAAATAAACATGGGAAGGCAATTGGTCAGCAACCCTGCTGAGCCCATCTCCAGACCACCTTACAGGTAGGTTATTAGGATACTCCAATCAAGGTCACCAATGCCCAAATAACAGAGTTGGAAGGGACCTTGGAGGTCATCTAGTCCAATCCCCCACTCAAGCAGAAGATCCTATACCATTTCGGACAAATGGCTGTCCAGTCTCTTCTTAAAAACTTCCAGTGTTGGAGCATTCACCGCTTCTGGAGGCAGGTTGTTCCACTGGTTAATTGTTCTCACTGTCAGGAAGTTCCTCCTTAGTTCCAGGTTGATTCTCTCCTTGGTGAGTTTCCATCCGTTGCTCCTTGTCCTGCCTTCATTAAATCTTCATTAACTGTGCCTGCATGTGACACACATTGCTATTTATAAACAACCACAATGTTTATGATGGCTTTTTGTTTGATGTATGCTTCATTAAGCTTTTCATGGCCTTTTAAAAATTAATTTTATTTCTCTTACTAACTTTTATTTTTTCCCTTTGACTGCCCAACTGCTCAAAATTTTAATTTTGATTGAAAACGCGAGATAAATAGCTCATCTGATAAAATATAATGAATTCATTCTTGTAGGTGATGGGATGTAGTAATAGAGTGTTTATCAAAGTAACAATTGTAAATCTTTCTGCCATAAGTAAATTTTTCACCTCATTGAACCAGGCAGGTTGTTCCACTGGTTAATTGTTCTGACTGTCAGGAAGTTTCTCCTTAGTTCCAGGTTGCTTCTCTCCTTGATGAGTTTCCATCCGTTGCTTCTTGTCCTGCCTTCAGGCGCTTTGGAGAATAGCTTGACTCCCTCTTCTTTGGGACAGCCCCTGAGATACTGGAAGACTGCTATCCTGTCCCCCCTCGTCCTTCTCTTCATTAAACTGGACATCCCCAATTCCAGCAACCGTTCCTTATATGTTTTGGCCTCCAGTCCCCTGATCATCTTTAATCTTTGACTTATGTCCACAACTGAGCCAAAAATTTCTGTTGCTGAGCGAAACATTTGTTAAATGAATTTTCCCCATTTTATGACCATTCTTGCCACAGTTGTCAAGTGAATCACTGCAGTTGTTAAGCTAGTAAAACAGTTGTGAAGTGAATCCGGCCTCCCCCCTATTGGCTTTCCTTCTCAAAAGGTTGCAAAAGGGGATCACGTGACCCCGGGGACGCTGCGACCGTCATAAATATGAGTCAGTTGCCAAGCGTCCGAATTTTGATCACGTGACCCCGGGGATACTGCCATGGTCGGTCATAAGTGTGAAAAAAGGGTGATAAGTCACTTTTTTCAGTGCCGTCGTAACTTTGAACGGTCGCTAAATGACCCGTAGTAATTCGGGAGCTGCCTGCCCTGTCGACATTTGCTCATTTTGAGTTGCGTTCCTCTTTAAGATACCACTGAAAGCCACTCACTGGCCTAGGCTCAGAGCAAAACTACCCTTGTTTTAATAAAGGAAGGCGGAAGGAACCGGTTTTGCTATAAAAGTCAGCCGGTGTGAAACAGAATCGGCCTGGAGGGTACAGGGACCTCAAACTGGCCAACATTGTGGACGTTAACTTGGTTTTCTTGTGTTCCTCTTAGAAGATATCTGACTTGGAGGAAGAGAATGTCCTTCTGAAGGAAGAAAAAGAGGCACTGAACAACAAAATCTTGGGTCACTCAGAAGGTAAGCAGAAGTTAGCAGATGCCTTTATTCGTACTGATAACTAAGTGAAAGTGTTTGTATTTTTAAACTTTTTTTCAGTATAAGTCCTTTCTCCTCATCTCCACTGTAAATAATAATAATTGTGGTGCTTTTCAAACAGGTTGCCTTTTTTCTCTCTCTCTCAAAAGATGGCTTGAAATTTCTCTGTTGAAGGTGGAATGTATAAACTGATATAATGCCTGGATAAACTGTATAAACTGATTTAATGCCTGGAGTCAGGAGGAGGGGAGGGAATTGTATGGGATGAAACATTCTAGGCTAAAAAAGACCCTTTGTCTTGAAACTGCCTTGAAAAGTCCGCGGACCATTTAAAAACAGCCACGTTCAAACCAGGATACATTCGGCGCATTCAGAAAACACTGGAGCAACCCAGTAGAGAATCAATTTAACGTAAAATTGAGTTAAACATTAACCAAGCGAAAGAGTTTGGAAAAGTAGGGAAATGAGAACAGGTCTGAATTGTAAGCATTACTTTATTGAAGCATTGTAGTCTGAAAATTGGCTCAGAAATGCATTTTATGGCTGAAACTGTCAGAGGCCTCATTTAGACACCCGTCCACGCGCCTGGCGAAATCAATATTAGTTGAACTTTGGAGCTAATTTGTGCATCGTACGGCAAGGATGTGGAAGTGTTCCGTTCTACCTGAGAGGAAATTTGTGCAGTGTGAAAGTAAATAATGCTGTACAAGGATGACCTCTTCCTTGTTTTTAAAAAAAAGTAAATGAAGAACAACCACATTAAAAAAAAAAGTATGCCTGATTAACTGGGCATTTTAACTTTTTGTTGGACGAATTTTTTTAAAAAAGAATTGCTCTGATTAAAGGTTCCTGCTCTGTTTGTGAAGTTGCACAGAAGCATATTTATTAAATTTGTAGGCCACCCATTTCACCAATAAAGCGACTCTGGGTGGCCTATAGATATTCTAAGTCAGGGGTCCCCAATCTTGGCTACTTTAAGACTTGTGGACTTCAACTCCCAGAATTCCCCAGCCAGCCATGCTGGCTGGGGAATTCTGGGAGTTGAAGTCCACAGGTCTTAAAGTAGCCAAGATTGGGGACCCCTGTTCTAAGTTATTTATAATGCTAGCAAAGTAGACCATATGCTTAAGAATGTAAACTGTCAGAAGTTTCCTTTTAAGAATATTAACCAGTTTATTTCCATTCTGGACTGCAGTTATTTTACTTAGCGTAGGGCATAGAGCGCCTGGATAACAGTAATAAAATTACATAGTAGGAGCACATAATACTGTGGGTACACGTATGATAGAAATGTGTAATCCATTTTGTAAGGTGTGAGGAACTCACTGGATTTGAGGAACTCAATGGACTGCAGTACCAACGGACAGGCTGTCTGGTTAAAAAAGCTAAATCCACAGGCTACTCTCCAGATCCGCTCTTTTCAGTGATCCTCAAGATTCTTTCTCATTTTTTGTAAGATGAATTTGCCAAAAACGCGCTTGAAGAAAACCTGATGAAGAAGGAGCTTGACGAGGAGAGAGTCCGTTACCAGCACCTTGTGCAGGAATATTCCAGGCTGGAGCAGAGATACGACAATCTCAGCGAGGAGATGGCTCTCATCAAGGTAATGGGAAAGTGTTTTTATCCCGAGGTCACAATGAGATGCCCAGAGTGTCATGTGTCTGATTAACGAAACACTTAACAGGACTTTCAGGCATATTTTCTCCTAAAAGCATTTATTAAGGTTACAGAGACGTCAGTACGGCATGGTGGAAATGCTTAGGTCTGGCTTCTCTTCCGTTACGCATAACATTCTAAGCATTCCCCCCCCCCTTATTTTGGGGTCATGGTTCACATGTTCCAATCAACTTGGAAGATGTGATTTACTTCCGGTTTCTTTTTCCCGGGCTTTCCTTATTCTCCTCCCTTTTTCCCTGTTGCCTGGTTTAACTATAAAAATACCAGACAGTTCTGCATATTGTCAAAGCAAGAATATACAGTATTTGCAGCGTTGACACAGAGATGGTATTCTGCCATTTTGGCTAAGCTGACTGTCAGTTAGCAATAGCAACAACATTTAGGTTTATATATTGCCCCTTAGTGCTTTACAGCCCTCCCTGGGTGGTTTACAGAGTCAGCCCCCAACAATCTGGGTCCTCATTTTACCAACCTTGGAAGGACGGAAGGACGAGTCAACCTTGAGCCGGTCAGGATCGAACTCCAGGCTGTGGGCAGAGTTTGCCTGCAATGCTGCCTTTTAACCACTGTGCCACCAGGGCTCTATTGATGTTGTAGCTGTGGCCTGTTTGCAATTTTTAGGGCTATTACTAATATTTATTTAGTCCCAAGTGATTGCCTGTGTTCTTCTGCGCTTTGATTCAGTTGAATGGAAGAGAACCGCTTCTGAAATTCCTTTTGGAGGATATGATTGGATCAATGGAATCATAATGAGTGGAACAGGATGCTAATTAATTAATTTTACTCTATCCTTATGTTCTGAACTTATGATTCTTATGTTATTGAACTTAAAGTGTCACAAGTTGTGTGTGCTAAGCTTTTTGTAGATCAGTTAATATTGGCAGCAGGGTTGTATAAATGATTTTACAAGGACAGTCTAAGCCAGTGGCCATTTATGCTTTATAATATTGGGTTTATGCTTTAAGACCTGTGGACTTCAATTCCCAGAATTCCCTAGCCGGTATGGCTGGCTGGGGAATTCTGGGAGTTGGTCCACAAATCTTGAAGTTGACAAAGTTAGAGGCTCCTGCTTTATATGATCTAATCCTAATGGCTATGGACTGGCCAATCAAAATGCTGCCTCCATCTTGGTGTGATTGGTTTGGCTAATCAACATGTTGCTTTCATCTGCTCCACAAGAGTCCTGGCCAGCAGCCAGGGCGGTTCATCTGCCCTTGTGACAGCACAGTCGAAGTCCAAGGCCACATCTGAGCATCTTCTAATGGTGAGACAATCACCATGGCCTCTACCAGGACTTCTGTTTGGTCTTCCATTTTCCCCTCGGAGACCACCAAGGGCCTCAGCAAGGTAATCTGGTGATTACCTCTTTGGATTCAATATCCAGACAAGCAGCTCTTTCTTCTCATTCATGTACTGTCTCCAGACAGAAGTCTCAAGCACGTCCTTTGCCTCCAGCCTTATGCTGGGTGCCAGTTTTTTTATTTATTTATTTTATAGGAGTGCAACCGTTGCTGCTTGGTGGTGGTGAGGTGGCTTCATCCCTTTATACACTTCTCAGAGAGCTTTTTCTGGGTCCATCCGTAGGAATGATCTTCCCAAAGTCTCTGTTTCCAAATTTGGTGAAGAAGTTTAAAAGGTCATTTGGGCTGAGCTCTAATTTAGATTTTAATTACACACATGAGGAATATGAGCAGTGTGTAGACAAGAGGCTTCATGCCTTCACCCTCTGCTGCTATAAATACACTTGAACCATCTCCTAGATACAGTAAATTAAGCATCCTAAAGACCGAGACTCTGTTTATCACTTGAGGCCTCCTTGGTCACAGTTTCATCTGGTGTGATGCTTGGATGGTGACAGGAGGCCCACGTGGAATACAAGTGTCAGCACGTCCTCTGATGTGGGTTTTGTGCATCAGCCAAGTGACCTCTCATCAGCCTACTGTGATGTTAACGTTGTTGTTTCCTTAAAAAAATAATACAGCTCCTGCCACTGTTTCTAAGCAGAAACGGTCACAATCTCAAGAGAGGTCAACTTGACAATTATTATTATTTTTTTGCACCTGATGTACCAGCTGAGTCAATCTAATACAGTTTCCCTCTTTGGATAGCAAAGTCCAGGGCACCGAAGGAACCCCTCAAACCAAAGCAGCTTGGAGTCGGATTCCAACTACCCATCCATTTCCACATCTGAAATAGGAGACACGGAAGATGCGATACAGCAGATAGAGGTATGGAATTGGAAGTAAAGGAAGAATTCCTTCTGCGGAGGCAAAGTAAATGTGTTTGCTGTCCACGTTATCTCTGGTGACCTCTATCCGATTCTCAACCAGCATGGCCAAGATGGGGAGGTAAAGAAATCTAATTTAAACCAAGGATGGCGGTTTGAAAGTGCCGTTGTTAAGCTGTAGGATTGAAGAGAAGATAAAATCCTGGAGCACCAAGCCTTACAACCTCAGCTTTGTATTGGGAGGATCCCTCCTGGTTTTATTTTTTTTAATTAGCCAATTACGGAGGATTACTGTTTAAATCAGGGGTAGTCAACCTTGGCTCTTTTATGACTCGTGGACTTCAACTCCCAGAATTCCTGAGCCAGCTGTGCTGGCTTAGGAATTCTGGGAGTTGAAGTCCACAAGTCATAAAAGAGCCAAGGTTGACTACCCCTGGTTTAAATGAATGCTTTTCCTAAAGATTTAAGACTGTACATAGAGCACAATGAGCAATAATGTTTTAAAATTAAGACCAGCATTTGTTAGGAATATATTTACATAGATTTCCTTTCCAAAGAGTTATAGGTTACTTCCTTGCAGTCTTTACATACAAGGCATTCAAGTGTCAAATTCCAATATATTTTAAAAAGCTTCTACATTTCATGTTGCACGCCACAAAGCTTGCGTGAGTTAAAATGACTTAAAATTAGAGTTCCTCCGTGTTTTACTTCTCTTTTCAAACCTGGCCTTGGAAACGGTGAAATTCTGCATTGCAGTTTGGTTAGGATCCCATTGCAGCCCACTTCATTAATTAATATGGCCACCCATCTCGTATACAGCATTGCTTAAAAACAGAATGAAAGCACAACCAATAATTAAAAACATAAATAACGTAACACGGTATAAAATAGCATCTGAGAATAATCACATCGCCTCAAAATCAATATAACCAAAAAACCAGCTCATCCACACTCCCAGGGCCTCAGGACTGATGGCAAAGCTAAGCTTTTGATGCCTTATGTAATCCCATAAGGCTGAGTTGGGGCAAACTTGATTGGGGGGGGGGGAAGGATGTCCCAAAGGGTGGGTGCCACAGCAGAAAAGACGTTCCTCCTGGGTCCCACTAGATCAGCGGTTCTCAACCTATGGGTCGCGACCCCATTTGGGGTCGATCGACCATTTCACGGGGGTCGCCAAGCAAGGCTGTCTGCCATTTTTTTCCCCCTTTTCCGGCGGGTGCCTTACCTCCCTTGGGCTGGGCCAGCTGGTGGTTGGCCTGCTCCGTCTCTGCCGCTTGCCAGCTATGCCTCGGCTGGCGCAGGGGGCGGAACCACGCATGCGTGGCGCTCCCGGGCAGGGAAAGTCCTCGACTTACGACCGGTTGGGTAGTCCTCGACTTACGATCGGTTTAGTCCTCGACTTACGACCGGTTTAGTCCTTGACTTACGACCGGTTTAGTCCTCGACTTACGACCGGTTGGGGGTCGCGGCATTAAAAAGGTTGAGAACCACTGCACTAGATCAGGGGTCTCCAAATTTTAACACTTGTGTTAAAATTAACTCCCAGAATTCCTCAGCCAGCCAAGTTTGGATCCCTGCACTAGATCTTGGTTTTTCAACTCTGACAACTATAAGATGTGTGGACCTCAACTCCCAGAATCCCCCAGCTTATATGGCTAGCTGGGGAATTCTGGGAGTTGAAGTCCAGAAATCTTAAGGTTGAATATTGCACCGGATGGTCCTCTCTTGAGGACAGAACCCAAAGCATGTCTCTCCTGCCAGACCTCATGGAATGAGTAGACATCACTGGGGAGAGATGGTCCTGGAAGTAACTTTGCCCCAAGCCATGTGTGACACATGCAGCCTTTTCTTACATTCATGATGCTCCTGCTAAGGTCTTGTATCTCTTTTGCAACTCGGGTGTGTATGAGCTCCATTTAAATTTATTCCTATACATGGGAGACCACAAGAGTTGTGGAGGATAAAAGCAGATGTTTGGAAGCCTTCTCCATATTGGAAATGTTGACCTAGTCCAGGGGTAGGCAACCTTGGCTCTTTTATGACTGGTGGACTCCAACTCCCAGAATTCCTGAGCCAGCCATGCTGAGGGGAAAGGGAGAGGTTTCCAAGCTGAGCCAGGCTGGCTCAGGAATTCTGGGAGTTGAAGTCCACCAATCATAAAAGGGCCAAGTTTGAAGACCCCTGGTTTAAATATTTAAATATTTTTCCTCACAGTCACATGATCAAAATTCAGGCATTTGGGCAGGGGTAGGCCACCTTGGCCCTTTTATGACTGGTGGACTTCAACTCCCAGAATTCCTGAGCCAGCCATGCTGAGGGGAAAGGGAGAGGTTTCCAAGCTGAGCCACGCTGGCTCAGGAATTCTGGGAGTTGAAGTCCACCAGTCATGAAGGGGCCAAAGTTTCCCTCCGTGCTGGCTCAGGAATTCTGGGAGTTGAAGTCCACCAGTCATAAAAGGGCCAAGGTTGCCTACCCCTCGTCTAGTCACCTGTTTAATTTGCAAAGTGCTTTTCGGTCTTCCTGTTTAGCCAAAAAGAGTTGAGCTATCTAGATACACAAAAACTGCCTCTTCAAAGATATGCAGCAATCCTTACTTCAAGTCCTGGTTTCCAAAAGAGAACTGAACTGCATATTCTTTCTCAAACGGGATCTGCTTATTTGTAGGTGGATCTCAGTGATTCTCAGCAAAGTGACCCCATTCTTCCAAGTTTCCAGAGAGTTTGGGGTCTTCTCTGCTGCTCTTTACCCTTCTTTCACATTGTTAGCTGTTCCTGTTCCTCCGCAGGAAGTTGGCTTGGAGAAGGCAGCCATGGACATGAGCCTCTTCCTGAAACTTCAGAAGAGAGTGCGGGAACTTGAACAGGAGAGGAGGAAATTGAAGACCCAGCTGGAAAAGAAAGAGAACGAAAGCAAGAAGTCTCAGGTAGAGCCAGAACCGATTCTGACTTATCTTAGGCATGTCTGGAAAACATTAAAATGTTCATTTTTAAGGGTCTACAGATTGAACCACGTGTTGTAGTGAAAGACTCCCGGTCCCATATTTAATAACCCCTCTAAAAATTCAAGGAAATGAAACTTTTCTATGTTTTGACACTTCAACGTGTTTCCTTTAGTTCTGAATTCCCCTCCAAGATTGCCTGCTGTATGCGGGGAAGGAGAGAGAATTCATAATATCACCTGTAGTTATTATAGGACAATGGTGGTAAACCTATGGCACGGGTGCCAGAGGCGGCACTCAGAGCCCTCTCTGTGGGCACGCATGCCATGCCCCGGAGATGGCAACCGTCCCTCTTCAACCAGCTGCCCGCTAACTTGCCAAGGTCCCACATGGCCGGATGCATCCCAGCACCCATGCGCTCGCTGGCCTCTGTGTGCGGGGGCCGATGGTGTCAGGCAGTAGCCGCCCCGGCCCCTGCCTCACCTTTCCCTGTGACAATGGCACCCCCAACCTGCCTCGCCTTGCCTCGCCTCACCCCGCAGGACGAGCCTCCTGCCCACCGACCCACCTGCCAGAGACCCCCTGGATCTCCCCCAACCCTGCCCAGCCCCCACAGGCGTCCCTCCCCACGAGCAACATAGAGGTGATCACGCCCACCTTGGCCACACCTACCCAATCTGCCATGACCACCACAGCCACGTCCACCTAGTGGGCCACACCCGCCTGGCACCCAGCGATACATAAGTGGGTTTTGGGTTTCAGTTTGGGCACTCGGTCTCTCAAAGGTTCGCCATCACTGGGATAGGAGGAGAGAGGGTGGGGATATGTACCCACAACAGCTGACATTTTAATTATTTATTTTTCTTAGTAAGCTGAGGTTGTCAGTAAAGGCAGACCTTGACTTACAACCATTTGTTTAGCAATCGTTTGAATTGTGACGGTGAAAAAAGGCACTTGCCACTAGTTCTCCCTCTTGCAACCCGTGATCACGTGAGAAGAATTCTGGCGCTTGGCAACTGGCATGTATTTATGACGGTCGCAGCATCCCAGGGTCACGGGATTGCCATTGGTGACGTTCCCATGTGGCTTCTGAGAAGCAAAGTCAAAAACCAAGCCAGATTTGTTTAACAACTACGTGATTCACTTAACAACCAAAGCAATTCACCTGACAACTGCACCCAAAAATTGTAAAATTTGGCACAACTCACTTAAGAGCCACATTATTGTGGTCATAAATCAAGGACTATCTATAATGGACCACTAGAAAGTGTCAATATACTTTTGGAGGAACAGTGAGTTTTGCACCATGGTCCAAAAATGTTTAGAAAATCAAATTCTTAAAATGATTAGAGACAATCCTTTAAGGATCTAATGCAGGGGTAGGCAACCTCGGCTCTTTTATGACTCGTGGACTTCAACTCCCAGAATTCCTGAGCCAGCACAGCTGGCTCAGGAATTCTGGGAGTTGAAGTCCACGAGTCATAAAAGAGCCAAGGTTGCCTACCCCTGATCTAATGTCAAGCACCGGGGAAATCAGGCAGTTCAAAGGAGTATAAAGGTTTATTGCAGGCTTAAGCTCTCTACAAGAATCTGACCAACTAACAGTCCAGGGAAATGAGGGGGAGATAAGAGAGGCATTCAAGGCGGGCTGGGCTGAGATCTCTGGCGGGTGCGCAGGGCCTCGCGACTTATGACGCATTTGACCCCTCCCTCCCTCGGGCTCAGCCTGGTCATCTCCTGCACAACAGTTGCATTTCATTGTTTTGTTGCAGAGTCACTTCTTGCTTTGCATCCCACCTTGCCTCTACGCTTCGTTCTAAAGCAGCAATTACTTTCCATAGTGGTGAATATCTGCAGCCCGGGTGTGGGACGAGGGTGAAGATTCGTTCTCCGAGCTTGTAGGTTGGTTTCTGAACGTTTCGTTTCCATCAAAGCCTGGCCCTCCAAAAGCCATTCCATTCACAGACACGTTGATCTACAAGCAGCCTACAAACCCCTCAGAATCCAAATCAACTGCACAGCCATCCAGAGACAGCACCGACCCTCAAGCCCCTCTCCCCTCCCCCCCACAGCAGTTGACCTGACCTGATCTGATATATTGTCCCCAGCACAAGACCCCTCCCCAGCCTCTCACTGAAGACTCAACCCTGACCCACTGATAATTCACACCCTCCAATGACCCTGATCTGAAGTAACCTCCCCATCACAATTCCCCTCCCCAGCCTCTCTCTGATGACTCATCACAAGACCCTCACTTGACACACCCACACCTGAGGCCCTTATAGATAGAAGAGCACTGATACACACATCCCCTGACCGTCGCTAAAGATGTTACCCAGCCTGGTAACGAAACGTTCGGAAACCAACCCACGAGCTCGGAGAACGAACCGTTGCCCTCATTGCTCTTCGTGTCACTCCTACGTAGGGATGATGTCAGGGAGGGGGGCAGCTTCAGAATTTGATAGGTAGAATTTGCCTTCATTCGTGAGAAATAAACAGAACGATGAATTTACAGTCATCACTGACTCCAGAATGGAGTATGGAGGTATCCATTCACTGCATTCACCACTTCTGGAGGCAGGTAGTTCCACTGGTTAATTGTTCTGACTGTCAGGAAGTTTCTCCTTAGTTCTAGGTTGCTTCTCTCCTTGGTCAGTTTCCATCCATTGCTTCTTGTCCTGCCTTCAGGCGCCTTGGAGAATAGCTTGACTCCCTCTTCTTTGGGGCAGCCCCTGAGATATTGGAAGACTGCTATCCTGTCCCCCCTCGTCCTTCTCTTCATTAAACTAGACAAACCCAATTCCAGCAGCCGTTCCTTCTATGTTTTAGCCTCCAGTCCCCTAATCATCTTTGTTGCTCTTCTCTGCACTCTTTCTAGAGTCTCAACATCTTTTTTACAGAACAGAAATGGATATTAACATTTGAGAAATGTTATCGTTGAAAGTAGCCCAAGACCCTAGTCTGCTTTTTATTTTTATTTTTTCTAAAAAAAACTATTGGAAAACTGGCATTTAGGAACATTTCTGCCATCCCCTCGGATGCATTTCAGTGCTGTTTTTTGTAACAAGCAAAGTACCGGGTACAAAATGAATCCAATCGAATGGCGCCGTTCCAATATGCTTGGAACCGCCCCATTGAAGACGGTAAATAAAAAGCTCCATACTGAAATGTGTTCTCTCTCCCGAAGAGCTTTTTCTTCGCTAAGCTTCGCTTCCAGAATATTATTCCCGGAGTTGAGAGGATGTTCGTTCTTTTTATAATTGTTTCCTATGGCCCTATCCATAATATCTGCATCCTGAGATGTCTACACTTTGGATTTGTGGTTGTTCATTAGAAATACATCCAGAATTATGACTGTGAGTTTTGTTGCAACAGGAAAGCACAGTCCCTGTTGAACTGATTTATCTCGCTGTAGGGCTAGTGAGCTTGGCCAGGACTCCTTAGCCGTCATGAAATCCAGGCTACATCAATTGTATTTCCTGGCCACTGGGAAATTTAGATCCTGGCTCTGGCTTTGGCTCTTGATAGCTTGTGGTAAGATGATGAAAAGGCAGCTCGGATTGAAGGCCCACGCTTGCTCTGCTTCTTCCAGCTGAGTTTTGCAGTGGCCGGAGTTTCAGAGGCAGCATTTTGTTAAGGGGAATACGCAGCTGTTCTTGGAAGGGAAATGTAAACAGGGACTGCTGGTCTTTTCATTTGAAGCATGTTGGATTTCTCTAAAAGATGCTGCATTGAAATTGGGTTGAATTTCCTGGCCTCTTAAATGTTTTGCGTTCATGTCGGAAGCAGCGAGGCTCTTCCGGGTTGAAAGGATTAGCCACCGACATCCCCACGGCCCGGGGGACGCCCGGTTGGGGGCTCCTTCCATGTGAATGTGCCCAACTAAGCGGTGGGTCGTGGAATTGCGCAGCAGCTGTCCAGATGAAGTTGGAGACACTAACGCAAACGTGTGGTTTTTCATATCAATATAAATATATTGAACGCTCAAAGTTACAGCACTCTTTGTCATCATGCAGAAAAGGAAGAACACAAGATAGTCAGGGACTCAGGAGCATCATGAGGTAAATTCCTCAGTATACAGGACACAGAGAAGAAAAAAAGGAGAGGGAAAAAAGGGAAACTCCCCTTTTATATTTACGGCAACCAATCACAGCGTAGATTGCCTCATGCATGAGTCAGCACTATCTAACTCAGGGGTGTCAAACTGCTGGCCCGTGGGCCGGACGCGTCACGCAGAAGCCGCGCCCACCCCATTGCCGGCAATGGCAAAACTCTCCCGATACGTTGCACGACGTCACGTGACATCGCGAGTTTGGCATGTCTGATCTAACTAATCAACTACAACTGTGTGTTCTGGCCTATTTACTGTTCCAGCTACTAAATTCAATATCCTAACATGGTACCTATCTATCTACTTGCAACTGCACACTCGGCAGGAACCGCAGCGAAGGGCAGGAACTCACCCCGTCACGCAGCAGCACGCGGGCCTCAAAGGCGGCCTTGTTGATCAGCAACCCAGAGTCCTAACCACAAGAGATATTTGTATTTTGTGAGCCATGAGACATATTTGTATTAGGACTTTTCCAAACGCTACTATGCCAGTTTGGTGTAGTGCAGGGGTAGGCAACCTTGGCCCTTTTATGACTGGTGGACTTCAACTCCCAGAATTCCTGAGCCAGCCTGGCTCAGCTTGGAAACCTCTCCCTTTTCCCTCAGCATGGCTGGCTCAGGAATTCTGGGAGTTGAAGTCCACCAGTCATAAAAGAGCCAAGGTTGCCTACCCCTGGTGTAGTGGTTAAGATCTCAGACTAGAAACTGGAAGACTCTGAGTTCTAGTCCTGCCTAAGGCAGGAAGCCAGCTGATGTCCTCCTACAGTGTCCTTTTTATGATGCCCCCAAATGTGCTCCACTTTTCCCAGTCATCTCCAAGTAGGAAATGATCGGGGAGTCACTTTCTCTCAGCTCCAAGAAAGAGGCACGGGCAAGCCCCTTCTGAAAAACATTGCTCAGGGGCTTATTTCACCGAGTGATGCAGAAGGTTGAGAGTAAGAAAGAAAAGAAAAAAAGCAAAAGCCGAGCCCACCAGGGCTTCCCACCAGTCTTCCAGGGCAGAAGAGAGAACGATGGTGGAACCCTTGGGCTAGTCTGCTCCAGTAGAACAGTGTTTCTCAACCTTGACAATTTTAAGGCATGTGGACTTCAACTCCCAGAATTCCACAGCCAGCAATGCTGGCTGTGGAATTCTGGGAGTTGAAGTCCACATGCCTTAAAATTGTCAAGGTTGAGAAACACTGCAGTAGAAGGAATAAGTAATGGAATTCAGGAACTTCAGCACATATTGTCCATCTCCCACCGCTTTGAGGACACCTCTGACAGCAGCAAGAGGTGGCTACAAGTCGGTGGAAAAAGCCAACATTTTAATGCAGAAGTCTGCAGAGTGAAGTCCCTCTGAAGCAGCAGCTGCCCCGGCCTAAGATGTCGTGAGGGTGGTCTAATGGCAGCATTAGCAAAGACCGCTCGACTTTTCTAGCCTGGACTCTCCAAGTGCATCAGGGTTACAAGTTCTGGGATTTGCAGGCAACACCCTTGTCGTGGTCCCAACGCACAAGAAAGGGACAAGGCAGGGGAAACTTAGAGGGTTTTTGGGCATAGCGGTTTCATAAGACGAAGTCCACTGGGCTCACCACCACAGGAGCATCACCTCTTCCTGCAACGGTCAAACAGCAAATTGGGATTGACGGCTCTTGACAACCTACATTTGCTCCTGCAGAAGTGATAGAACGTCTCTTGGGAGGGAAGCAAGCCAGCCAGGGCTTTGCCTCCACTCAGAATGCCTGCTGCCTCCTAATCGGTGCCGACAGGCTGAAAAGAGAGTCCTTGCGTGGGTCCAGATTTCCTATCTCTCCGTGAAAGGCAAATGTCCTTTTGCTACATATCATGGATGGTGGCGGTTCTGCTCCACCTCCCCCACCTTCCACTTGTCAGTTTCCCCTTCAGTGGCTGAGTCCTCCTTCCTTTTGGGAGACTCTCTTTTCAGAAGTTCTCCTTCTCCTACGCGTCTGTTTGTTTTGGGCTTTTGTGGTGCAAAAAAAATCATTTATTTAAAAGAACGCTCATCACAACCGGGGGGGCCGGGCGTGGAGAATAGCCTTTCTGCTTCTTTTTGTGATGCATTTTTTATTGACGTTGACAAGCAGAAGCAACAAGCGCTTAAACAGGAAAGAAAAACGCCCTACGACTTTTAAACGTTCCGTTGCAGAAATTCAAATGGATTTGGATATATATCTTATCTGTTGGAAGGGACCTTGGAGGTCATGTAGTCCAACCCCCTACTCAGGCAGGAAACCCCACACCATTTCAGACAAATGGCTGCCCAGTCTCTTCTTAAAAACCTCCAGTGTTGGAGCATTCACCGCTTCTGGAGGCAAAGTGGTTCCACTGGTTAATTGTCCTCACTGTCAGGAAGTTTCTCCTTAGTTCCAGGTTGCTTCTCTCCTTGATGAGTTTCATCGCAGACCCTACTCTGGCAACTGGCTGTGTTGGCTAAAGCAGTGGCAGTTGGAGGCTTAAAGGTTTCCTGCTGTGAACGTAACTCTACAGTGGTATAAAATCCCAGAAGAATAATCACATTTGCTGAGTCAGTTGCAGTAGATTCCAAGTTTTATGTAATGTTAAAGACTAACAGTAGTTAAAGACTAATGTAATGTTAAAGACTAACAGACTAAAGACTAAGTAGTGTAAGAGTTCATGGAATCAGTCTAATTCATGGTGTTAATGGTCTTCCAGCAGCAGTTCTTGAAGGTCAGTTTAGGAATATTCCAGCCAGTAAAAGACTGCAATGCAATAGAAATACAGGCATATAGTTTTATGAAATATCAGCTCTGTATCGGCATATGTAACATTGTGGTAGCCCCCAATAGAAAACTAACCAGATTTCCTGGACAATTTCTGTATAGCAACAGCACTTAGACTTATATACCATCCCATGGTGCTTTTCCAGCCCTCTCTAAGTGGTTTACGGAGTTAGTGTGTCGTCCCCAACAGTCTTTAGTCCTTTCCACCTGGAAGAACAGAATGAAGAAATTGGGTATTGTTAAATAATGTTAATAGAGTCCTCGACGTATAACCATTTGTTTAGTGACCAAAGTCACAACAGCACTGAAAAAAAGTGACATGGCTGTTTCTCATACTTACGACCGTTGCAGCATCCCCGTGGACATGTGATCAAAATTAAAACGCTTAGCAATCGGTTTGTATTTATGACGGTCGCAGTGTCCCAGGGTCATGTGATCCCTTTTTGAGACCTTCTGACAAGCAGGGACCATGGGGAGGTCATATTCGCTTAACAACCGTGTTTCTAACTTAACCCCTCTGGCAGGAAGGGTTGTAAAATGGGGCAAGACCCACTTAATGACCACTTTGCTTAGCATTGGAAATGTTGGGCTCGCTTGTGATTGTAAGTCAAGGACTGCCTGTACTTAAAATGAGGGATTGCTTGTATTTCTGTTATCTCACACATTGTTTTATCTGGACCTCGGATAGCCCTGTTTCCTAAAGACCCTTTCATTTCAGTGTCCTTCTCATGTGATTGACGTGCTGTCAATGGTAGACAATGTCAGGCCAGCCAGGCCTGCGGGCAGGAATCCTCTGTTGACTTGCTGTCCAATCAGATGTCTCTCTTCTTGTCTTCCTAATCCATCTAGGTAATTGAAACGAAGAACGAAATGGATTTGGACCGAGATACAGATCTAGCATACAACAGTCTGAAGGTAAAAGAAATCTCCAGGTTTTTTTTTCCCCCTTGTGCCAAGTACCCGGTGATGGTGCTAATACCCTGGAAGAGCTTTGTTGCTATCAGTCTTTATAAATCTATCTTGCAGGAGCATTCTGAAATACCTGCTCGTGCTTTACTAACTTACAGAGTTTTCCTTTTCTTGAATTGGAGGAGTGTCGCTCAGATTTCAACTACCCTGAGTTGGAGCTTACTTCAGCTTTCTTTTGTGTTATAGACCTGCGAAGGTCATAAACGTGAGGATTGGTCACAAAGTTACTTTTTCGTCACGGTGAACTATCACTAAACGAGGCAGTTGCTAGACGAGGAGTCCTTGCATTCCTTCTGTTGGTTGGGATAATTGGCTAGGCCAGGGGTAGGCCACCTGGGCTCTTTTATGACTGGTGGACTTCAACTCCCAGAATTCCTGAGCCAGCCTGGCTCAGCTTGGAAACCTCTCCCTTTCCCCTCAGCGTGGCTGGCTCAGGAATTCTGGGAGTTGAAGTCCACCAGTCATAAAAGGGCCAAAGTTGCCTACCCCTGGGCTAGAGAGTGGAATCAGGATGGATGCATGCATGTAGAAGGATCTTTTCCTTGGATGATATTATTATGTAAGGAAATAAAAAAGCTTGCAAAATTAGAGACCAAGCTGGAATAACAGAATAACAGAGTCGGAAGGGACCTTGGAGGTCTTCTAGTCCAGCCCCCTGCTGAAGCAGGAGAACATATACCAATTTAGATAACTGTCCAGTCTCTTCTTAAAAACCTCCAGTGATGGAGCACCCACAGCGTCTGGAGGCAACCTCTGTCCCACTGGTTGATTGTCCTCACAGTCAGGAAGTTTCTCCTTATTTCTTAGGTTGAATCTCTCCTTGATAAGATACTTAGAATTGGTAAAAAGAACAGTAAAGAAACTCATCATACCAGTTTTAGCACCAAACGCAGCATAATATCTGAATGTATAGAAAACTTGTTGCTGTTTGGAGTTTGAAAAGGATTTTTTCTTTTTGGGTGTGTGTGGTTTTTTTTTTGTTCTGTTGGATACTGGAGGAAAAATTTATGGGGATGGGTCCAAGATCTCTATTCCATTATTTTAGGGCACAACTGAGGCATAGGATTCCATGTTATTCTGCGCACTCAGTAACTCAGAATTTGACTAAATGATAGGAAGGATACCAAATTGGCTTGGAAAAAAATAATAGTTTAATTGGATCTTAGAGTTGTTCCACCTTGTTATAGAGACCTTGAAAGAAAGTATAAAACAGAAAAGTCACTCTTATCTGTTGTATTCAGCCAGAAGAGCATGTTCTCCTTGACTGTCAATTTCCTACTGTTCTTCTTCTTAAGAAATGTTACTGCTGAATACTAACCATGCCCATAGAAATGACTGTTGCGACATCGCATAAGAAGACCTAAAGGAATTAATTAGGACTAAGTAATTAATAAATTAGGCACGTATATCTCTTCTGAGCCAAGGTTGAATCCAGCCATTGCCAAAATTACTTTGAGTAAAGAAATCTGAGTATCTGCAGAGCATTTAATTCTAGGGTTTATTTCTGATTTACAATCTACCAATTTGGAGCACGGTAGGATTCTCCAGTATGGAATGGGAATTAAAAATCTACAATAAATTTAATCTTCCTATGGAACTGGGAATCACGAATAAAAACATTAACACTAATCTATTAAAGACTCAGTCTTTTGACTCAGGAGGCAGTCACAATAATTCAACCTCCCTTATTACCAAAACCGGGAATATTTATCTTAACAACTAATATTCTTCTGAGTTGTAGTTTATAAGCTAGAGGGTTGAATACCTGTGCAAATGAATAACTTTGCAGCTGAAATCTCAAAAGGAGGCTGTAGAGAGATCAGTAGTCTGATCCCAAACTGGACACCCATTTGTCTGAAATGGTCTAGAGTTTCCTGCCTGAGCAGGGGGTTGGACTAGATGACCTCCAAGGTCCCTTCCAACTTTATTATTATTATTATGGATCATTGCACAGTCAGCCAGATGTTCAGACTGGATTTGGCCTTTTTGTCTACCTATCGAGTCCTTACCCAGGACCTGGGATAGGCAGATGTGGAGGTTTGATGGTGTTACAGATCTCGTAGCAGGATGGAAGCAGTTCCTAGTAATTATTATTATTATTATTATTATTATTATTATTATTATTATTATTATTATTATTATTATTATTATTACTACTACTACTACTACTACTACTACTACTACTACTACTACTACTACTACTACTTTGGGTAAGGGATAATTTGTACCCCAGTTTGAAGATTATTATTATTTATTTATTTATTTATTTATTTATTTATTTGTATTGCGCTTTTATTATTTTTATAAATAAGTCAGCAAACATATCCAATACACCCTCTTCTTCCAGTTTTCTCCATAACAACAACCCTGTGAGGCGAGTTGGGTTGAGAGGGAGTGACTGGCTCAAAGTCACCCAGCTGGGGTTTAATGCCTAAGTTGGGACTAGAACTCACCGTCTCCTGGCGATTGGCCCAAAGTCACCCAGCCGGCTTTCACATCTAAAGTGAGATTAGAACTCAGACTCCTGTTCTGATGCTTTAACCACTAGACATCAAAACAAGACAGGTACAAACCTTTCCCAACTTTGTGCCCTCCAAATGTATTGGGGACCGTTCTCAATTCTTGTAATCCTAATCTCAGGGCCTCTGGAAGACCCAGAATGCAGAAAATTGACAGTATTATAGTCCATTTCCTAAGTTATCACCTAGGGATGTTTCCATTTTGTGTGCAAAATTCCCTAAGGACAAAGGCGTAAATAGAATTTGCTGTTTCTTCTTATTTAATTTTTTTTACTGGCATCAACAGTTTTCAGAGAAATGATTACATGTTGAACTTTTCTCTAAAAGAAAAATATTACGCTCATGATTAATGCAGAGGTGCTTGGAATTTGAAAGTAATTTTTTTTCTTTGAGGAAAAGTCAAGATCGTGGGTTAGAGGTCATTGGTAAATTGCTTCCTTTAGAAACAATAAATGTTTAGGAGGGAATGTCTAGTTTAAGGAAGAGAAGGACAAGGGAGGACGTGATAGCAGTCTTCCAATATCTCAGGGGCTGCCCCAAAGAAGAGGGAGTCAAGCTATTCTCCAAGGCGCCTGAAGGAAGGAGAAGAAGCAACGGATGGAAACTAATCAAGGAGAGAAGCAACCTAGAACTAAGGAGAAACTTCCTGACAGTCAGAACAATTAACCAGTGGAACCACCTGCCTCCAGAAGCGGTGAATGCTCCAACACTGGAAGTCTTTAAGAAGAGACTGGACAGCCATTTGTCTGAAATGGTATAGGGTTTCCTGCCTGAGCAGGGGGTTGGACTAGATGACCTCCAAGGTCCCTTCCAACTTTACTATTATTATCAATAGCCTCCTCTTCCTGCACTTGGATCCCCCCTGCTTTTCCACGCAAGTAAGAATGGGAAGTTTCTGTCTTGAAAGCGGGAGCCCATTTGGCGCAGCGAATAAAGCAACCAATTAGAAAGTGGGAGACTGTGAGTTCTAGTCCCGCCTTGGGCATAAAAGCCAGATGGCTGACCTTGGGCCAGGACCCCTCTCTCAGCCCTAGGAAAGAGGCAATAACAAACCACTTTCTGATATATTGCCAAGGACACTGCAGGGACTTGTCCAGGCAGTCACCAGGTACCAAAAGCACTAAAACTGGAAAATATTGTCAATAGTGTGTTCTGCTTCTGGAATTAATGGGCAAAGAATGAGCATGAGATCAGAAATCAACCCAAAGGAGAAGATTGGCACCTTGAACACACATGAAGAGGTGTGGAGTGAAGCAGAAGCTTGATTTTAGAATACTGGTAATCCTGGACTTGTGACTATTTGATTAACAACCGTTCAAAGTTAGGGTGGCTTTGGAAAAAGTGACTTATGACCCATGTACTCGCTCACGTACAACGGTTGCACCATCCCTGTGGTCATGTGATTGCAACTCAGGCACTTGTCAAGTCACTTGCATTTACAACCAGTTAGAGCAGAGGTAGTCAACCTTGGCTCTTTTATGACTGGTGGACTTCAACTCCCAGAATTCCTGAGCCAGCCATGCTGAGGGGAAAGGGAGAGGTTTCCAAGCTGAGCCATGCTGGCTCAGGAATTCTGGGAGTTGAAGTCCACGAGTCATAAAAGAGCCCACGTTGCCTACCCCTGGTCTAGACTCTAGGCCAGCGGTTCTCAACCTATGGGTCGCAACCCCATTTGGGGTCGATCGACCATTTCACGAGGGTCGCCAAGCAAGGCTGTCCGCCATTTTTTTCCCCTTTTCCGGCGGGTGCCTTACCTCCCTTGGGCTGGGCCAGCTGGTGGTCGGCCTGCTCCGTCTCTGCCGCTTGCCAGCTATGCCTCGGCCGGCGCAGGGGGCGGAACCACGCATGCGCGGCGCTCCCGGGCAGGGAAAGTCCTCGACTTACGACCAGTTGGGTAGTCCTCGACTTACGACCGGTTTAGTCCTCGACTTACGACCGGTTGGGGGTTGCGGCATTAAAAAGGTTGAGAACCACTGCTCTAGGCCTAGGGTAGGGGTCTTCAAACCTGGCCCTTTTATGACTCGCAGACTTCAACTCCCAGAATTCCTGAGCCAGCATGGAGGAACTATGCCCCCCCCTCATGACTCGTGGACTTCAACTCCCAGAATTCCTGAGCCAGCCTGGCTCAGCCTGGAAACCTCTCCCTTTCCCCTCAGCTTGACCGGCTCAGGAATTCTGGGAGTTGAAGTCCACCAGTCCTAAAAGGGCCAAGGTTGCCCACCCCTGACCTAGATCATCTTGCAATCATGTCATCAGTTTCCAGCAAAAGAACGTCCATTGGGGAAGCTGGGTTCACATAACAAATGCTTAATTCACTTAACCACCCCCATAAAAATTGTTGTAAAATTGGGTACGACTTGATTTATGACTGCAACAATGGACAATAGACATTCCGATCCCAGTTTCAACTCGAGGATTACCTCTACT